ATCTATCTATCTATCTATCTATCTATCTATCTATCTATCTATCTATCATCTCTCCCTCTCCCTCTCTCCCTCTGACCCCCCTCTCTCTGTCTACCTACCTACCTATCCACCTACCTACCTACCTACCTACCACCTACCTACCTACCTCTCTCCCTCCCTATTTAATCATTTCTCCCCAAAGCAGGCGGCTTTGATGCCCTCAAAGCACCCTCCCCGCACCCAGGGCAGCCCAGGCAAGGGACCGAACTGTTTCACCTCCTTCAGAGCTTGGTCTACTTTTTCCTCCCTGCTGTTTCCGCATCAGGTGACCTGAGCCCTGGAGGGATCCCACCGGAGACCCGCTGCCTGCCGAGCGAGAGCCCCCCGCCATCGATGGCTGAGATGGCGCCTGCAGGTGCTGGAGCCTGGCTTAAGGGAAGACTCCCTCCCTGCCGCTCCCCCTGGGAGGGCAGCCTGTCTCGCGGGAGGCGGAGGGCAGGGAGCGCCAGCCTCTGTGGGGGTCACGAGTGGCCTCTTCCCTCTCCCCCACAGGTCAAACGCCTGAGGCGGTCAGCGAGGACCCAGACAGCACCGAGGTGTTCTACACGGTGGAGAGGGACGAAAGCGGAGAAGTCGTCTGCCTCTGCTCCAACATGGGGGAGGCCTACAACAAAATCGGTGGGTCCCCCTTGCGGGGGGACAGCGGCCTGAGGGCGGTGCCCTCCCTTGGCTCACAGCCTGGACCCAAGAAGGCGGGAGGCAACCCAGGCGGCACAAAGGCCACCCCCCCCCCCACTTTGGAGGAGCGGCTGGTGGGGATCGGGGCCCGTCTCCGGTCAGGGCAGCAGCTCTACCTGACCCAGGAGCCCCCCCTGCCCAGCGGGACCCCCGGGATGCCCAGCTGAGTTCATCGGAGGGCACCACCCCACCCCTTCCACAGCACCAAAGGGCCCCTCCCCTCCAGGAGAAGCATTGCAGGGGGGGCACAATGTCCCCACACTGATGGGGGGGGTGCACTTTGGATTTGTGGTGCCTGACATTTGGTCATGTTTCCCTCCCCCCACACCTGTCCCCCCCCCTCACCTTTAGCTGCCCTGGCTGAATATTTGCTGAAGGACCAGCAAGATGCCCCGGTGGACGAGCATTTTGGTGAGCCCGCTTCGCTTCCAGGGGCCACATTCACACACACCCCGAGCCAGGGGCCCGGCCTTCCCCTGGTCAAGATGGGGCCTATTTGGGGGGGGGGCAGAAAAGGGGCCCTTTCCTTCCTGGGCAAAGGGCTCC